TATATTTAGAAGGTTATGTTATTGGATTTGGGTAAGTTTACACTCTAGCAACCACAGTCTGATGTAGAAACTTGAAGTCGCCAGTGCACAAACACTGAGAATGCACTTTACAGTGAAGTAGGAGACATCGTATGTCTAAAACAAACAGAATTCTGTCATTTTTAATGAGGTAGAAGGAATATATTACTTTTTAAGAACTGTAATGTGGAAATTATACTTTTTTGTGTAATCAGTTCCAAGCAGACTATTTGTTTATGATGTAATACATGTCTGGAGGGGATCTTTAAGTTCAAATGTGTAGATACTTGTGGTTTATTTGAGTTTTTAAATGATTTTTAATTGTTTCATCTCAACCAACTACAAGAGTAAATCATGGTTTTACGGTAATGCATCAGTAATAATCTAATCATATGATATATAATAGTATTAACAGTAAAATTTACTACAAATTTAGAGTACTTTTACTTTTTTTTAAAACTTTTATTTTGAACGTGTTTACTTTAAGGTCCAGTGTGTAACATTTAGGAGGATCTATTAGCAGAAATGGAATATAATATTAATAACTATGTTTCTAATAGTGTTTAATCAACTGAATATAGGAATCGTTGTGTTTTTGTTGTTTTTGACAGGGTAGCAACAGTAACTAAGGCCAGTTTACAAAGATACTCATAGAGACTCATTAAAAATAATTGTTTGACAGTTTGACCATACACCAAAAGGTTTTTTGATTGTAAAATACATCTACTACATACATCTGAGCTTTTGTGGTGAGTTATTTTTAAAAAGTCCTTTATATTTCACAACTAGGGAGACACGTTCATACTCATCCAACCCGCAGTCCCTCCAGTCATTTTCAACACTGTCCAACCGAATCCGACAGCACAAATTGCAAAATGCAACCCACCTCCTGGACAGTAACTTGCAGCTTATAGAAAAGTGACACACAAAAAACGGAGCTTGAAAATTAAGTGACAAACCCGTTTCTTGGGCTCATGGTTGAGTTGTGTATGATGTGAAACGACAGGCAAGGAAGCAAGCAGGCAGGGAGGAGGGCGGGTCCGGTAATGACACACACAGACTGCGCCCTGCAGGACATATAACACCTCTGTGATATGAACTAATGGAGCTCCAGGACATTATGTAAAAACAGAGGACAGAGAGGAAAAAGATAGGGTCATGGGAGGAAGAGGGAGAAAAAACTGACACTAATGCCATGTGAATAAGGAATAGATATTAAATAGGGATGATTAGGATATGAAAGAGAAAGTAGAATGAGATGATGATTAGCTGTAACCTAAGAAGGAGAGAATTAAGTAAGTAGTGCCCTCACGCTCTGTCTGAATGGCAGGTTTTGGTCTCACAAGTGATTATTCCTCTCGCTGCCCACTTGTAGAAAGAAAGAATCAGGAGAGAGCGATACTGAGACAAAGAGGAAGTTTAGGGGCTTGAAGGAGAAATGGATACTGAGTGAGTGAGTGAGTGAGTGAGTGAGTAAGTGAGAGGAAATTAAAAAAGCAACATCTAGAACAGCAGAGTAACTCTGTCAAGGAAAGAGAGGTATTATCTACACAATAAAATCAAGGTTAGGAAAGTCTGTTAACTGAAAAACAAACAAAGAAAATATATTTATCCGATTTTACTTGGTGGTGGTGTCTGGCCCTGCAGATTTGTCCAGGTTTTCAGATATTTAAAATTCAGTCGTGTTGCTCAAAGTTTGGATGTACGATATGGATCATTCAGCACATATGATGACCGATAACTAGCTGCTTTTCATGGCTGATACCAATAAGATAACTGCTTATTTTTGTATTTTAAAAAGAAGTTCCCAACCGGTAGTTTTTACACCCCCGAGGGTAAGAAAGGTTAAGATGTAGTGAGCAAAGAAGGATGATTTAATGTTTCATAGCTCTGTTCTAACCAAATCTAACTGACATTACTATGATTAACAAACAATAACAAACAACACTTCTGACTCTTCAAATGTCAAAATTAACTTTTTCTTGTAAAGTTCATTAAAAATCTTCACAAACATATATTGGCTTTCAGAAACAAAGCCTATCAATAGTTTTGCATAAGAATTCAAAATAAATCATTGTTTATATCAACCAATCATTTATCGGCTGTAATTTAATTATCCTGATAATTTATAATAATATCAATTTCCCATTGTCAGACGGTGTATCTGTTCCAATAGGTGTCGTGCAACCCCAGCTTAAAGTATTGAAAAATTGCATTTAAATAGTTCATCATCAGTGTGCCTTTCCAAAAACAATGTCCTGGTTAATCTGAACAGTTTTCATTTAAACTACTTTCTGCAGAAGTAACCAGGAAGTACTGAAGTCACCAGTCCCCCCGAACACACACCAAACCTCTATCAGACAATAATGACCAGAAATCAAAAAGAAGGCCTGAACTTTTTGTTAAATTACTTGGATTTTGCATATTTTATTTATTCAATTAAATATTTAATTATACATAAAGGTCTAAATGGTGCATTGAAGTCTTTCTTTCACTGCCAGGAGTACAACACTGGAGAAATGAAAACATTTAAAGGCCCAGTGTGAAGGATTCAGTGGCATCTAGATTTAAACCATAACCACCAAACATGAAAAGCCCCATCTAAAGCCGATGTTTGGTTTGTCTGTAAACTAACTACTCAAATTCACACAAAATTAATAATGAATAAATAAATAATGAGGACACGACCTTGGCCCATTTGAGAACTGAGTGAATCCAGTGTAACCAGGTCACTGTTTCTGGGAAGAGATTTTGCTGTTGATTTTTTTAATATTTGGTTAGAGCATTACACCAAGTCCACCCCCACTGTTGAGTATAGTGAGACAGAAACTCAAAATTGTGGCAGATAAAATGTGTTAGTCTTACCTTTCCATCCTTTTTGACTTACATCCCTTGTGTGTAGCACCCATCCTAAAGCTTACAAAATTGTTCCTGAAGACGTAAATCTTTACAAACAGTTGTTAAATATGTAATTTATTCTCTAATTCTCTGTTAGTAGGATGAATAATTGTTGATTTTGATCTTTTCATGGGATTTTCTTGACAAGAATATATAATATCATTATAATGAATATGATTAAAGGAAATGACTGGATCCACAGATCAAATAATAATGTTATGGTAAATTACATGTAAGACTCATCTTTACAATTCATTTAAAACTCAGCGTGTGGAAGCTGAAATGCTCAAACCATGATGGATTCTGATGGAAGAGTGGGGTTAGAGGTGAATGGTGCATTAGCTGTCGTCCATGCGTGAGAATACCTTCATTACCTTCCTGAACAGAGTGGAGTGTATTTACCGTCAGTGTAGGTAAAACATCAGGTTTCAGCCTGCACACACACACTCGCTCTCCTTTCCCTCCTCCTCATTTCCACCACTGCCAATCCCTCCACCATCACTTGACACTGCGGTGTTATTACCTCATTACAGTGAAAAGTAGGTAACAGATCATTTCTGTCCCTGTGGGTAAAAAAAGGTGGAGGAAGGGGGAGATGGGCTTTGATGTAGAGTGGAGGTAGTGCACCTAACTCGAGGAGTGCTCAGCCTCTTGCATGACTAACATGTATGACTGATTGCACACGTGGATGGATACTCGTAGTTCACGTATGTGTTAGAATGAACATGCGATCGCGAACAGAAAATTAGCAGTGCATGCAAGTGTAAGTTGGTCTTGGGGGCACGTGTAAACAATCATTGAAGAATGAATTTTTGAACTTGCGTTTTTAATTTGAAGTTCAAGAAAAAGTGAGTGAGAGATAATTGATTAAAAAAAAGCATACACTGAAGGCCTCACTAATCAGACTGTGACATGTGGAAGGTCCTGATTTCACCTAGATTTTAATCACATTGTTTATCTAAACTGTAGAGTCAGTAAACAGCAAAGGTCATGGATTTAAAGGTCCACTGTGTTACATTGAGGAGCATCTATTGGCAGAATTGGAATATAATATTCATATGTGAACATGTTGGCATGCTGATGTTAGCATTAAACTCAAATAACTGCTCCTATCTGCTGCCTCACAGAGGCGCTACCATATACATTCCTCACTTCGGAGAGAGCTAGGCCGGTTTCCAGTCTTTATGCTAAGCTAGGCTAACCACATCCTGCAGTTCATACGAGAGTGATGTTAATCTCATTTGACACTTTTTGTATTTCCCTTTTCTTTTATTTTAAACTATTCCTTTAATCTAAACATTTACTTCTTGTGCGACGTAGACAATGAAACAGTTAAACAGGGGCCGGTGTTCAAGCATGGCCCAACACCTCGGGTCATTTCAGTCACCTCTCAACAGTATATTTCACTGTGGACACACAGAGGACCCCTGACATGATGCTGTTCTCATTACAGCCCCTCTGCCACGTCGCCCCCAGTCACTAAAATTTGTGAATAATCCATCTTGACTTCTATGTCCCGATGAGTTGCTTGGCAGTTTTACATGGGTGACTGACCTTGACTAATCCATGGCACCAGATATTAGGCTCTTCTTACTTTGTCTCTTCTTCCTGTCTCCTTGGAGATAAAATGTTTTGACAGACATGTCTGTCCACACATTTGGTAACCTACATTAAATATCATTGAACCAGGTGGCCATCTTACCTGTGATGCTCTCTGCAGCATCCTAATGTGCTAACGAAGCTTTGATGTGGCTCCTTGATAAAGAATGAGTCACCTTGTCTGTATTTGAATATTCATACACTAGTGGGACAACCTTTTTTGACATTGCATGGAAGTAAAAGTCTCTGCTTTAAACATATTTAATACAGTAGATAAATCATATTACTGTGTATTCTTTAGTGCAGTTAGAGAGCATAAAAAGAGAAAGCAGACGTCTGAGCTATAAACAAGACTATATTTGTTCCTGAGGCGTGCAGTAGCTGGACACGCTCCATAATCATCTGTGCCCTACCTTCCAGTTCTCTCTCATGCTGTATGACTCATGACCTTGTTTGCTGATTGGCTGTGTGTCTCTGGTTTCCAGGACGACAACTCCATGTTTTTCCAGTTTGGTCCGTCCATCGAGCAGCAGGCCTCCGTCATGTTGAACATCATGGAGGAGTATGACTGGTACATCTTCTCCATAGTCACCACATACTACCCTGGCTATCAGGACTTTGTCAACAAGGTAAATAAACACAGTTACAGACACTTTGATAAAGACGTACATGTAATATATACATTATGTACACACACAGTGTATTTATGGGCATATAGCAGTAGGTGTGCTAAATGAAATACCATTTAGCAGTAAGTCGAGGCCGAAATTGCAAAGAACATTATCTGCTAAGATAAATGTATTCCTTTGATAAAAACTGACTCCAGAAGCAGCAGGATACTTATTATTACGTATACAGCTAATGGCTGTAAACTTTTTCAACCATCCATTCAGATGAGAGATTCACTTTCGCTCTGGGTCTCAGGCACATTAGGTATTATTACTGTTGTCTTTTGGGGACCCATTATAAGAGGCCTATCAAATATATATTGTAGTTTTCACATTCTTTTCTAATGATGAGATGATGAAGAAGAAGATGTGTGTCTTATCTTTTTATTTGTTTTATTGTTTACTTAGCTAGGATCATGGTAAAAATGATCCCAACAAAAGCAACTATTTCTGAGAGTATGATTGTCTGGTTTTAAGCCATAATTTCAAGCTTTTGAAAATGATAAGGTTTGGGAGAGTCTGAAGTGGGTAGCAAGTTCCATTTTCTGATTGCTTTAATGGAAAAGGCAGATTGGCCGAACATGTCTTTTTGAATGCAGCCACTCAGTGAGGCTTCAGTCTCCTTATCTCCAGGGCTGAGAACAGACTCTTTAAATGGGGGGATGGTATGAGATCCTGAATAACTTTAAACATCAGACACACATCTGAAAAGAATAATAAGTTATTGAAAGTCGGCTAATCATATTTCTTAATATGGTAGTGTCTTTCCTTTGGAAGTGTCTTTCCTTTGAAGTTAGGGTAACAATCTGGTTTAAAAGGGGGGGGGGAAACACATATATTTATCATCTAAATGGAGGTTATGAACGAGGATATTTAGGGCTCATACTCCTGGGAGGGGCATTTCACATTAGTCAGTTATATTGGGTATAATCTATAGAGTCTAATATCAGTTGCTATAGTTCACTGTTACTGCTGTATATCTGTATATCTATAACATCTTATCTATAATATCTGAAAATATTTTGAATATATAAACTCTGAGCCTCAATGAATTAAGCAGTGAGAAAAGCTTAAACCAGTTGATATTTGTGCAGCCAGTTATTACCAGATTCATGAATCTCATTCTATCCTATTGTCCTCTCTCCAGCAGATATCAAGCATACATATAAAATTCAAGGTTTCTTTTTCTTCGTTCAATAAGGAAGAAAATGAGTGTTGTAATGGCATACACCACACAAAATTCGCTGTTCTGCCTGTTACTCAGCTTGTATAAGTCCCTTTGCATTGATTCACTTAAGAAACATCTATTACTCTCTGACCCTGAAACACAAAACACAACCTTATGCCATATATAAGTTATGGATCTAGAGTCCTAGAAATCACTTCTTGCTACGCATGATCTATTGTGTGTGTGAGTGTGTAGCTTTGAGATTTGGAAAAAACAGAGATTACCTAATCTTGCTTTTGTTACATTTCAAAGAATCAACCATTGCGTCCTACTCCCAGGAGGTGTGTAAAGACAGAACAGTTTTGCAGTCTGGGAGCTGGAGGAGGAGACATCTCAGTCAATTTTGTTCCAGTATCTCTTAACAACTCCACTGTATGTGTGCAGCCTACACTTTTTAAAATCACATCTCCCTTTCCTATCAAGGTCCGCAGTACCATCGAGAACAGCTTTGTGGGCTGGGAGCTAGAAGAAGTCCTCCTACTGGATATGTCAGTGGATGACGGAGACTCCAAGATCCAGAATCAGCTGAAGAAACTACAGAGTCCTGTTATTCTGCTCTACTGCACAAAGGAGGAGGCTACCACTATCTTCGAGGTGGCCCATTCTGTGGGCCTCACAGGTTATGGCTTCACCTGGATCGTGCCCTCGCTGGTGGCTGGAGATGCAGACCACGTTCCCTCTGTCTTCCCTACAGGTACACCCAAGCACCAGGGCCCGGTTTCACAAGACTATGACCTAGATAGATCTAACTACTGGGCAGACATCAGAAACATGTCCAAATCCATATATTGCACAACGCCGTGGTTCTTGAGAGTTCCATAACTAACTAGCTAAGTAACCGTTAGCCAACAAGTAAAGCTTTTGTCCATCAGAAAACTAGATGTGATCCAGTTTCACCAAAATCAGTGACATAGTTTCTGGTGTGTGTGTGTGTGTGTGTGTGTGTGTGTGTGTGTGTGTGTATGTGTGTAGTGCCGTAAAGTGCACTTCTCCTGACCTGGACCCCAAGGTTGCCTTGTGCTACACCTGTTCTCGAATGCAGGGTGAAGAATGGGAATAACAGGCAGCATTCACCCTATTACAAGTCAGTGTAGCATCAAAATGATTTGAAGCTGTTATTTTAAGGTACTGTTTCTTTAAATATGACTACTGTCATATACTATGAATTCTGGGTAAATGAATAACAATATTAAAAACTTGTAGGGCTCAGTACATCTGCTAACTCATCAGTCAGGCTCAGGATAGTTTTCCTGGGCAAACAATTCCATCTTATTCGTCACATTTAGTGCCAATGGTCAGCAGGTGGGACTGATTGTTACCATAGAAATATGGCTTTTCCTTAAAATAATTAATAAATAAATATTTCTATGCATGTTAGACTTGTACTTGTTAATTTACCCCGCAAGTTAGACTTGCACAGAACACGAAAAACAGAATAAAATGTCTTTGTGAAACCAAACCAGATCAGTAGGAGGTGGTCTTACCTTTTCAGGGTATAAATAGAGATCTTGTATGCTCAGAGTATCACACTGATGCTGACTGAAAAATACAGCTAATTAATGTTTTGCAGAGAAAGCTCATTAAGTGCCACATGTCAAATTTTAAACATTAAGTCACTATGGCCAAATTAATTATGATGCTTTGTTTTTAATCATAGCGTAAACGAGACCTCTTCTGGGGGGTGTTGTTCATACCTGATCTGGAGTGATGAAGTCTGGACCGCAGTTATAGTTGCAGTTATTCAGTGTAGCTTTTCACAAGCTGCCTTACTGCTCTGTGCCATCAAGCATCTTCTTTTTAACTGTAAAGCAATCCAAACAATTCACTTCAACATCCAACTGAGGGCATATGATGTCAAATATAATATAGATGCTGCTAGGGATGTCCTCATTTCTTCATGGTTGTACTTTTCTCCCAGAATTACATCTTAATAGTTGATGGATGTCGGGGGGCCCTGTGGCAGAGGCGTTCAAGACGCCGAGCATGAACTTCAACGAGCCTAGTTCGACTCCAGCCGAGGACCTTTGTTGCATATGATTCCCCATCTCTCCCCCCTCGTTTCCTGTCATCCCTCTGCTGTCCTTTCTCAAGTAAAAGGCACTTAATTTCCTTGTATAATGCAGTGTTTCTGGCATCAGTTACATACATTCAGTCACTGTGGTGTTTCACGCTGTGATGTTTATAGATTTTAAATATGGGAAAAAGAGGGTGCTGATATTGAATTGTTACTCTGTACTGGCAGATAAATTAAAGTATTAGAATCTGAATCAGGAGAGAAAATCTTGAATCAGTGCATCTCTATTGAAAATATGACACTTCTGAATAATAATATTTTTGAAAGTGCTGGAGAATACAGTAGCTTTGATTGTGCAGACTGAAGACTGTAAGTACATTATATCACAGATTCATATCAATGTCATTTTTTAGTACTTTGGATTTAAAGATTTAGACTATGCATAGCTTTATTGAAGGATCGTGTCGATAGGATCAGTTTCCCACCTTTGCTGGATGTAATTTGACCTTGTTTAATCTTTACGCAGGCAATCAGAGGGTCAGAGGTCATACCTTAAACCAACAGGGCTCAACTCAATTAAGCAACTCCTCTGCTTTAATGTTGTTGAGCAAAGCAAAGAAATCTTTATTACATTATCTGTTACGTTTTTAAGAAATGTTTTACGGAAATGTTGGCACAAGCGACAGATGGTCTTGTTTGCATATATGCAAATGTTCTCCTGGTCTATTTGCACTACGCTGTGCCAGTCAGCGGTAGGGTGCATACTGATTCCCGTTGACCTCAGGTAAGGGAGTTTATTTGGTCATATTTATCATTTTATGTCGACATATTATACAATACCTCACATAAATATGAGAAAAATGTGGACTGACAAGCTTTACTTTTTTATTGTGGCTATCAGTTCTCATAATTTGTCTGTCTGAGCTTTGGCCTCACTGGAGTCCATCATTAAGAGAATTCCCAGTGATGTTGTTTTGAAAATATCTCTCCAGGGAGTCGGGTCAGGCAGGAAAGAGAACCCCTTTGTCATTTTGCAGTATCTCTCTCTCTCTCTCTCTCTCTCTCTCCCTTCCACTCACCGAGCAGTTTATGTGAAGCATTTCTCCTGTTGTTCCATTTGCTCGGGCAGGTGACAAAAAAAATCACACTTTATACATGTTTGTGAATCCGGTAACAAGACCATGTCTGACTAAAAAAGGCAGGTTTGCATTTTTCCAGTAGAGTAACGGTGCAACTTCCAAATGTGAACACATAATCCAAACCAGCCACAGAAAGTGACCCGGCAGTTGTTTATGGCTGTAAGAAATGGATGCTGACATGATAGCCAGCAGTTCCTCATGGTTGGAAAGCCAAGCATAACAAATTGAGCTGAGGGATGACCATGTTCTTGACTGACGCTCATATTCTTTCGTGTGTATTCAACCTGTATGAGCTTTTTTTTCTTTTTAAATAGCAACAAGCCTACTCTCTGGCTTAGAACAAATTAAAATATTATAGGTATGATTACACTCTTAATATTGTCACAGTGTTTTGCCACTTTTCAGCCTCCTCTAAAATGCTTTCATTTTTATACCCTCCGGCTATTTTTAAGGCCTCTGCCTGCCTATTTGTATCCTTCCTCTCTTCTCTCTTTCTCAAACTTTTCTGTCTCTCTCCCCCTCCTTTTCATCTTTCTCCATATTTCTTTCTACTTCTTTTTGTTCGTTCCAATATGAAAATACACCTCTTCTTCTCACCTCACTCCACCTCTCTCTCTCTTTCCCAGGGCTTATCTCAGTGTCATATGACGAATGGGACTACAACATCGAGGCCAGGGTACGTGATGCAGTGGCTGTCATTGCCACAGCGACCTCCACCATGATGCTGGACCGGGGGCCTCACACCCTGCTGAAGTCAAGCTGCCTCGGGACACCTGACAAAAAGAGCTCCAACACCGGCCACTCCAAGGAAATACTGAAGTGAGTCAATGCTTGGGGGGATACGTGGTCAGGGGAAAGCTGGGCAGAGGGGCTGGGATAGACAAATACAAAAATTGGTAATGTAGAGTGAAAACGTGTAAGCGAAATCATGTCCCCTAACAGCGACTGTCCAATTATTGTTTACCAACTGTAAGTAGACACGGCAGGCCTGTCAAGCTTTGGGTTTCTCTGCATGCGAAAGCGCTGTGTATGGGACTTTACAAAACTAAAAACACAAGAGACAAAGTGTAAGGAATGAATTAAACTGTGTTTAACTGCTATAAACGTAAGCTGCAAATGTTAGCATGCCAAGCTAACCAGCTTACTACGTACAGTAGTAACCTAGACTTATTTCCAAAGGCAAGGCATTAGCTAACTACATTATTTAGTGAGGTTACAGGTAAAAACACCTGTTGAAGGCTGGAACATCCACCCTCTGGGAGCCAAGATGCTACTATATATCAGAGTTTAGAGTAACAATAGCGGCTATCTCTTTATTTGATTTCACCAAGCCAAGCTGGTGTCAAACTCATCAGTAATTCTTGCATAAATCTAATCATTGTTTTTTTTTAAGTAAGCATCCATCACCATTAGAATAATTACCATTTAAAGGACCATTTTGTGTAAAAACTTGGGCTAAGGCCATGTTCAGACCTTGTTCATTTGATTGACAGCTGGCTTCATCCTGCAGCACACAAACAATACTGCGACTTATCAGAAGCTGGTGACGAGGCAAATTTTTGCCTGGGACATGTAGCTTTAGCCTCAGTCTTTTAAACTCGTGCATGCTGTGTATCCACACACAGTGCATGACGACTGCCTCACTGAACTGCTGCAGCTCGCATGCCTGTGACGTCCACACAGGGTGTTTCTGCTGCAGCCAGCAGCTTGTTCTACAGTCTTTGATAAATACATGTTTTTTGCAAGTTTTGCAGCCTCCGTAGTTTCTCCTACATGCTTGGGAGTTGAGCTGTATTCAAATGGTTGCAATCTGCTACTTCAGCGCTAGATGCCACTAAAACCTACATACTGGTCCTGTGCTTAGCTTTAGCTCACACTAGCTAGCTACAGCTGATAAAATCTGCTAGTGACAGTTGTCATTTCAGCCGACAAAATTCATGGTTTGCCGGCTAGAAGTTGCTTTTGTTTACTGCTGTTTCAGGAATTACTGGGAATTTTTGATGGTCTGCCATCATTATGATTGTTCATTTCTTATGTGCCTTGCAAGAACGGAAAGCTTCACAGATGTAGCAATGGTAACTACGTGTAAGGGGGCTTTGCGAAGGGTCTAAGGGTTTATGGGTAAGCCTGCCAATTGCCCCTCAGAATGAACAGGTTTGTTTTTGCATCATATTTTCAGCACAGATCCTTTGTCTTTGGGAGCTGTAACTTCAAATAAACAATCTGTGCTTTTGATTAAATATGATTTTGAGTTTGAGCCCAGGTCCAGGAAAGACAATCTTCCCTGCTGAAAAAAACATGGCCAATGAAAAAGCAATGAGCAATGTTCACCTAGTTTTATAAGCTTTGAAATGTATTTTGGAACAGAAAATGAGCAGGGCGTCATACACAATGCAAAAAGATGGGCTGAACAAAAGCAGATGATTTTTATTCACATGAGTCAGATCCAAAGAAACTCGCTGGTAAAATAACAGAAAAAAAGTATAGTTTGGTTTTCAGTTGCTGAAGCGTAGTTAAAACTCAAAAATCTAAATAAATCCAGCAACCACACAGTACAATGTGGACTACAAATACACACAGAAATACAGACACGTTCCCCAAGGAGAGCCAGAATTTGTGTAATTATCCAATAAAAACACAAGATGAACGGAGATATTAACTCTCAGACTTATAACAACATCTTGTCTTATCTTTAGCTTAACCCACAGCCATCTTTAAAGGAAAACATCCTCCTTTTCCTCTTCCTCTGAACCCCCCTTGTTTTGCTTTTTTGGCACATTACAGAACAAGCACGAGCATTGGTATTCAATAATTAATCCCCATTTAACTTCATAGGGCATGGTTTTACTGTTCACATTGATCGGAGATTCCTCAGCTAATTGAATGCTCGGGGACAACCGGATTAATGAAAGAAAGCGCCAGAGAACAAGAGAGGGGGTTATCGCTAGCACAGTAACACACATGCCAAACACATAACACATAACTTGTTTTTATAGCATGACATTTAACTGCTCTTTAAGGCTTAATCTAATAAAAGCTTAGACTTACTGATGTCATTCCTTGTTAGATGTATTTCAGTTTTACAAAACTATGTGCCTGCCTGCCTTTAATCCACTTTTTTTCCCCCATAAGATTTAACATTTTTTCTGTTTTTGTTTGTTTTTTTCACTGTCAGTTTGAATTTGAGGAATGCAAAGAACTAGGGAAATATTATGCAGCCTCCCCTGCCACTACTGCATTAATCTCTAGGTTGAGGTTGATGTATTACTGTAAATTTTGGTCTTGTCTTCCACCCATGTTTCTGTTTTTAATATCAGGGGGAACTTATGTGTGCCGCCCAGGATTCCGCCACCAACAAGACTGAGATAACAATAACAGCACAGCCATGAATATTTCAGTCCCCAAAGGGCGCTATCAGACACAGGGTTAGCTCTCAATCATCCTTCAGGCACACACCTGGGATGTGTGTGTGTGTGTTTTCCAACCATTCCATTTTTCTCCATTCGACTGAGCAAAGGTAGAGAATTTGGATTGGTGGATTTTGGTGGTGACCCCAGTGGCAAGAAACAGCCACACACACACACACACACACACACACACACACACACACACACACACACACATACACATACACATAATTCCACCATTCCATCCTCTCACCCCCAGAGACAGAAGCAATAATAAGGCCATATGTCTCTGCGTGGTCCTGTATAGCTACAGGCCACAGTGGGCTGCATGCATGCTGGATAAGCATGCCATCCTGTCAAAGCTGATGGACGAAGATCGGAGACCCCAGCGAGTCACGCTCTTAAATTTGTTTAGGGGCTGCTTGACCTTATGGGGCACACACACAAATACATGCATACATAAATACATGCATACACCGCAAGCACTCGCACGCTCCAGCTCAAATACGCACACACATGCAGGGCTCTAGAGACCATCCATTGTTTCCTGTTAGACAGAGAGGACAGGAACGCTAGGATAATGAGAAAATGTGCTCCAAGTGGTTTTGGATGTGGCGCTGAGGGGCTTATCTGTGTGTGGATTTTGCAGGAAAAGGGATGTTTTTTATTATTTGTTTGACTGTGTGCGCTCGCATTCAAATTCCCTCTCAAATCCCTGCTCTGATATAAAATGCTGCACTGGTAGATATGATGTAAGAGATGATTAATATTTTCGAGTGAGTTTGCTTTCATATGATCTGACGAGACATTTGTCTTCATGTCTGTGGGCTGGCTGGCTGGCTGCATGCGTTTGGTCCGAGCCTTCCACTAGAGCTCAGTCTAAAAACCTTTTATTCAGGCCATTTGACCCTTGTGCTGCCTCTTTCATGCATGTAAGACGAGCATGTTATTCTCATCCTATTTCACCTTTAGTTTTATTTTCTGTAGTGGGAGAGCGGTATTATTGCATTTCTTAATGGGCACAATAAAAGTGGCTGTCTAATAAATCCTGGCGCTGTTTATCAGAAGGCAAGCAGGCTAATCCATTGTGCTTTTGGGCATCTGGAGCTCAAATGACCGTCACTTTTCATAGTCCCTTCCTTTGCCGTGGAAGTGGGTCAGACATTTACACGTCTGCGTCGCCTCCGATCATATTTATTTTCTTTTGCTAAAATCTTTCCCACTGATGTCTCTCTCTCCACTGTATGAATACTTTACCTCTTGTATTCTCTGCTTTCCACCCCTTTCTTTTCCTGTTTTCGCTTTGTGATGCTCCTACAGCAGTCCATTCTCACTGAAAAGGACTTTCGGTTAAATAAAAGGTAAAATGTTGAACCAGAGAGGTAATGACGGCTCTCCTCCTACACCACCCTTTTCTCCCTCTCTCTCTTCCTCTGTCAAAAAACTGTTGATCCTAATTTTCTATATATAAATACATTGTACGGAGGGAGGATTAGTGTGTTTAAGGACAGGATTACTTATATTGAGCATGAATTCAATTTTACTCATTTAGCTCTGTCCTCTCCCCGTTTATGGCTAATTCCTGTGAGGGGCATTAAAATGCCATAGAAATAACCAATCAATATTTCATATGGCCTTGTTCTTATTGGAATGTTCACTTATTGGGTCCGTTAGCGCCACAGCACATCTGTTACACTCTATGTGCTACTCGCGACGTGTTCAGTGTCGTTTATGAGAATTATTACGTTTCACTGACATTTATTTTATTAGGATTGTTTGTAGGTTTATAAATTGACCTTTGATGATAATCTTAGTTTTATTTACTCAAAAAGAAGGTGGGAGGGGGACTTCCAATGACTTTCATTTTAATTGAAACAACACCACCAACTAAATACGTTTTTTGTCGTAGATTCCCTGCTGGTCACAAGATTCACATTTTTCTCTCATTTGGTAAAGACTATAGCACTTCTGATACTGGATTTTGGAGGCTGATACTGTTATCATTATTTGAGAATTGTTACGATACCTGTACAATGAGCTTGTATTGGCCGATATATCCGCTCAGCCAATTTATTGGTTCAGCTTTAGCAAAGAGCCAGCTGTGTTGATGTCATTTGGGTAGTGTCCTAATTCATCCACTGTTATATACTGATTTTCAGTCTGTGATATTCAGTGCGTTCAAGTAGTTATTTTGTGATGAATATTTTCATTTTCTTGTTTTTCTTTTACTTGACCTTATCAACTTATACTTAGTCAATTTGTGAATCTTGACTTTTATTGTATTCGCATTCATAACACGTCAACATCTAATGGCTGCATTGCAATCTGGTCTGCTGAGGCTACTGTGAGGGGCTCATCATTTCTGTAATATTGTGATGTTTTTCTTCATTTACGTTTGTTAAATCATTGCAA